TACTGTCATGTTTACTTGATTTTAAAACTCATATTTTCCATAGAATAAATTATTAAAATTTTAAAATACTGCACTATGGGCACTTTTTGTTTGGTTCCTATATGGAGCTACTGATTCACATAGCCAACTTCTGAGCCTGGCCCTTTCAAGTACCCAGAGGAGGGAGTCCCTGTAATACAGGCTGCAGACCCATCCATCCTTAAAGGGGACCCAAGAGTTTCTGCTGTGCTGTTTAACACCCTGAAGGAAGTTAACCACACACCTGGCATATCCCGTTCCCTAAAGTGGACTGTGTTGGATATATTTATATGTGCATATTCTATGCGCATCTGGTGAGTGCGCTTTTTTACTATACCTTCAAAGCACAAGCACTTAAATATCGCTGCGGTTGGGATCCTGTATCACTCCTTGTATATATTGTATAAAGTTGTTGAGGCTACATAGAATTGTTTTGGTGCATGGCTATTGGTAAGATAGTATAATCTACTGCATGTCAGCATCATTAGATAGTATTACATTTTATGATCAATTTAGAAAAATTCTTAGGTTTTGAGTAGATCTATACCCAATCGGTATAATATCATATATACGTACACTCACTGGCCACTTTATTAGATACACCTTGCTAATGCCAAGAAAATATCCCTCACACCATTACACCACCACCACCAGCCTGAACCGTTGATACAAGGCAGGATGGATCCATGCTTTCATGTTGTTTACACCAAATTCTGACCCTACCATCTGAAGGATGCATCAAGCAGTCTGCCCATTCTCCTCTGACCTCTGATATCAACAAGGTTTTTGTCCACACAACTGCTGCTCACTGGATATTTTCTCTTTTTTGGACCATTCTCTGTAAACCATAGAGATGGTTGTGCGTGAAAATCCCAGTAGATCAGCAGTTTTTGAAATACTCAGACCAGCTTGTCTGGCACCAACAGCCATGCCATGCTCAAAGTCACTTAAATGTCCTTTCTTCCCCATTCTGATGCGCGGTTTGAACTTCAGCAAATTGTTTTCACGACGTCTAGATGCCTAAATGCATTGAGGTGTTTGGCTGATTAGCAATTTGTGTTACCAAGCAATTGAACAGGTGTACCTAATAAAGTGGTCAGTGACTTTGTTTACTATGTTAATATAATTTCCCAAGTCTTTCTTTTTTGTTCTATAAAAATTATACTTGATGATCCTGCCATTAAAGTGATTGTAAAACAGCCCATTCAGTTTAAAATAGAGATGAAAGTAAAACATTTTTGTTTAGCTATTTATAAAAACATTCTAAATACCTTTTTCCCCTTTTTTATAAGTGATTACCCTCAGTTCTCAGTTGCATAAGCTGGGGCAGGAGAAACAGAAGTACACTGATCTTACTAGTGAAAGGCTGTGTGGGGGGTATCAGAACAAGTCTCATCAATGGAGGAGAGCAGGCTGAGTTCCCAGCACAGCTCTAGTAGTCAATCTATAATTGTCTACATTTAAAAGATTAGAAAAATATAGACTCGTTAGCATCTAAAAATGTGAGTCACTTCAAAATCTAAAGATCTAAACCCACTATATCAGCTTTGTAATAAAGTTTGAAGTAATTTTCAATATCAATATACAGCTTATTAAAATAATACATGGGGATCCCACCATGAAGGTCCTCGCTCAGGTACTCCCTCTCGTTTGGTGACCATGGTCTGTCCCCATCGCTCCTGTATGGTCACCCTACAGACTACAAGTGGTTGTTGCAACAAAGTCCACTGTTGTCACCATCAGGAAACCCATCCTGTGAAATGTTATGCAGCAATTGCTGGTATGCATGTAGTCAGAATGTGGCTGCAATAAGGCTGCAGGAGATCAGCAGCACTAAAACAAAAAAAAATTAAAATTAAAAAAAAGTGAAAATCGCATTTTATCTGCTTCCTGCACTACCCTACTGCAGATATACTGCTACAGGGTGGCTAGGGTGCGCAAAATCACACATATATATGTGTGTGTGTGTGTGTGTGTGTGTGTGTGTGTGTGTGTGATTTTGCAGTTCTGGGTAGGGGGTGAATGCACCCTATCCGCGCCGCCATTCGTGGCTTCGGCTGTCAATCACCGGGTCCCAGCCGTTGATTCCCCGCTGGCACCCAGTGATCGCCGAGGATTTCCGAAGGGGAAGAGATCTGTATGTAAACATTACAGATCTGTCCCCTGTCAGCTCCTGCACAGTGCTTACAGTGAAGCACACACACAGCACCCATAGTAAAACAGCACACAGTTAACCCTTTGGTCGCCCCACATGTTAACCCCTTCCTGCCCAGTGCCATTAGTACAGTGTCAGTGCTTTTTATTAGCACTGATCACTGTATTGCTGTCACTGGGGATGTCAGTGACACCAAGTCAGTTCCTCCCAGTGTCAGAATGCCCGTCGCAGTCCCGCTATAAGTTGCTTATTGCCGCCATTACTAGTAAAAAATAAATAAATAAAATTCCAGTATATATACTACCATTTGTAAACGCTATAACTTCCACATAAACCAATTAATCTACACGTATTGGGATTTTTTTTTTTTTTAGCAAAGACATAGAAGAATACATTTTGGCCTAAATTTATGTCGAAATTTGATTTTTTTTAAATTTTTTACTGGACTTGTTTAATAGCAAAAAGTCAAAAATATTGGGGTTTTTTTTCAAAATTGTTGGTCTTTTTTTGTTTATAGCGCAAATAATAAAAAACGCACAGGTGATCAAATACCACCAAAAGAAAGCTCTATTTGTGGGGAAAAAGGACGTAAGTTTAATTTGGGTGCAGCATTGTATGACCACGCAATTGTCAGTTAAAGTAACGCAGCGCCGTATCGCAAAAAGTTGCCGGCCAGGAAGGGGGGTAAATCATGTGGAGGGCAAGTGGTTAAAAAAGCCATTTGTATATAATATAAAGTGCTTTAGCAAACTAAAGTTGGCTATAGATGGATCTTAATTTAGCTAGTTCAGCAGAAACTAGCTTGATTTCGATCCACGGTTGCCACTTCCGTTTTACAGAAGTCGATCTAGTAATTGACTTCTGTCAAATGGACTTGTTGTGAAATTTTTCTTGATCAGTGGCTGCAACCAATGGGCTGCAGCCACTGATCAGTGTTGTCTGATAGCAGAGCATCCCCGCTGTCAGAGTACAATGTCACAGCGGGGAAGATTCCTCCATCCACCTCCACCTCCACTGTGTGGACTGCCAGCCTAAATGTCATTCAGTTATAGTTTACATATACTTGAAGCTATACATTGCAATAAAAATGTTACATATGTCTTCTCTGAAAATATGACTTTGCTTTACCACTCTGAGAATGCTTATTGAAGGTGTGTTCTCTCTGATAACGTGCCAATGCTAGCAATGTACAAAGCTTATCACATAAAATAATTGTCAGCGGCATCATGTGGTCTTGGTATTTGTCTTCTAATGAGCCATAACACATGTTAGCATAACGAACTGATCCGGAAAATGTAGAGTAGACATCCAGAACACGTGCAGGAACACAACTGGAAAAATATCTTCTAGCCTGAAGGCAAATGACGTTAAATTACTATCAATGAATGTAATCCTTGCTCTAAGAGCAGGGCAAAGCTTGGAAACGAGCTATTTTTAGTTGCTCAATAACCTAGCCAGATTATTGTTACAACTGTATGCCTGCAGATCCAAATACACAAAGAATGTCAATACCCTGCACATATCATTACACAAAACCTTAGCCAGAGACAAGTAGCAGTTCCCATCACCTAAAATGCATGGATGGAACTCTTCAAACAGCTGCTGGCTCCAACAGTTTCTATCTCCTTCTTTTTTTTTTTTTACAGTATTTTTCTCCCCATAGCTTATCAAGGAATAAAAGCTTCCGGTGTATGTAAATTCACAGCTCTGTAGGACACCACTGGCTGTTTGCAAAAGAATGATTTCAGGATGGATGGCTTTCACATCATACTATCTTTCTTAGTGAAAAGAATGTTCCCCAAAGACCAGTGCTGAGGTCATTGCCGAGGCAATCTGACTGCTTGTGTTTTCTTGACGATAACAAAAGAATTCTAAGATCATGTCCTTGTTTGTTAATATGAGCTATCCGCTTGCCTTTGGATGTTCCATAAAGCGTCTGGATTTTGCAGCCATCATTTTAAATAATAGGATATTTAAAGACAAACTCCTGGAAGATTCAGTTTTGATACAGTTAAAGTGTTTGTAAACCTCAGACATGACATATGAACAAAGCATATCCCTATATAGTGTGTATTTGTGTCAATTAAGAGCACTAAGTGTTTTTTCTGTCTGCTGCGTAGTTCCTCTGCTATGAGCATGACTCACTTCTGACATGTTTTCCTGACACCAAGAGAAAATAGGTGACAGGGGAGGGGCCTCCAGCAGATAGACAGCCTCAGCTCTGTTCCTGTGTGCTGCGGGTGTGTCTCTTCCCTTCAATCAGCTCTCAGATGTCTCCTCACTGAGATCTGCAGAGTGAAATTTCAGCTCCCCACCCCCTTTTTTGAACTCTCAGACAAGCTTTATAAATTCTGGACTTTGAACGTATGTAAAGAAGAGAAGACTGCAGAAAGACAAGTACAACTTATGTAGGATTTATTTATTTCAGGTACTTATATAGTGCTGTCGATTTACGCAGCGCTTTACATATACATATTGTACATTCACATCAGTCCCTAACCCTCAACGGGTGTACAATCTAAGGTCCCTAACTCACATTCATACATACATATATTAGTGCCAATTTAGACAGGATCCAATTAACCTACCAGCATGTCTTTGGAGTGTGGGAGGAAACTAGAGTACCCGGAGGAAACCCACGCAGGCACAGGGAGAACATGCAAACTCCAGGCAGGGGGTGCCATGGTTGGTATTCGAACCAACGACCCTAGTACTGCCAGGCAGAAGTGCCAACCATTTACCCACTGTGCTGCTGATGTAGGATGATTTGTTTAATCTCTGTGTATCACCTGAGGCCAGTCATTTCACTGTGTAAATGTAAGGGTCAGGGGCGGACTGACCATTTAGAAACTCGGGCACTGCTCGAGGGCCCAGGGTCAGTAGGGGGCCCCATGAGATGCCCCTGGTACCTTTTTTGATAGACTTTTTTTGAGTTTGGGCAAGGACACAGGGGCCCCATGATCCCTATTGCCCGGGGGCCCCATGAGTTGTCAATCCGCCCCTGGTAAGGGTTTACAGCCACTTTAAAGGAAATCGATCATAGGACCCCTTCTCCTGAAACAGCTAATTGACTGGCTTTAATCCAGTTGCTTTGACTCTGCCAAGTCCCTGACCTTTAATAAGTATGGAAATTAGGGTTTCTGCCTTTTTCAGACACTCACATATTGCATTTTGGTTTGTCTGTAGAGGTATTGAAGCCAGACGCAAACAGATAACTAGCATTTTCAAAAGACGTTAAGCAATGACAGCCACCATTTTTCATTAACGACACATACTTTATGTATTCATTAAAAAATCATTAAAGCCCAAAGGAACATTTAGTTTAAATCAACTAAATATATTCAAGGTGCATCAAAACAAATAGGGTGTGGAAAGTCTTACATTTTGTTTTCTTAACCACTTTAATACCATCTAACACAAACCGTATATGCAAAAAGGTGGACTTTAATGCCCACAGGCCGCACAAATGCGTAAATGGATGACTGATGTTTCTGTGCTGAGAGTGCACTCACTGCGCGTTCCCAGCACAGAAACCAAGCTATGAAAGACAGCTCTTGGTGCCCATGGTCAGCAGCTGGCAGGACCAGCTCCTGGTCATGTGACTACAGCTAGTCAATCTTTCCCGCCCTCCAGCATTCAGAACTTTAAAAGGGACACTGGGCTGGGTGGGAAAGGGTTATAAAAGCAAGAACCAAAAAAAAAAGGTATCAGTACAGCCTCACAGGTGTCTCAATTAGGTCAATGTTTCAACATCTCAAATGTACTATAGAAAATAACCAAAAAAAGGATTATTTTAAAAATGTGTAAAAAAAAAAAAAAAAAAAGAAGATATTTCATTGAGTGATATATGTAGTTCTTCAAAAGACTTTATTTGTTTTCTGTCCTTAAAAATAGCAATCACCAAAGCCTGTCCCCTGCCTTCATTCTGCAGAATGGGACCAGTAGCAGTTGAGGGGTTGAACAAGCTATCTTGGTGAATCCCTCCGTAAACCTTCTGTATTAGGAGCAGAAATTTCAACAATCTCAGCTCCATGATGGGCCTTGGCTAACAGGCGATGGTTTCTAATTTCTTGGGGACAGTGGCAACTCACTCACCAGAGACAACATACCGCAGATAAGTGACAGATGCTGGGCAGAAATGAAGGTTCTCTGGGCAAAGTTCCAATTTTTCTTCCTGAACTTGCATTAACACTTTCTCCAGCCATTCCTCATGCTCTTTCAGCACCCTTCTGAAGACAATTATATCATCCAGATATACCCAAACTTCTATTAGATTTATGGCTACCACTGTTTGCTTCATCAGAAATTGGAAGGTTGCAGGGAGCCCAGTCAGGCCTTGCGGCATCCTGTTGTACTCCTACAAACCCAGCAAACAATTTTCTGTCTGTCCTGAGGATGCATGAGATTCTAGTGGTATCCACTCCAACACACTAAGCCACTTAGCCCCAGTTAGACATTGTAGAGCATCTTCTTTCCATGGAATGGTATACTAGTCTGGAATGGTCCTCCAACTGAGGGTGCGATAGTCAGTGCACATCTAAAGACATTCTTCTTTGGGACAGCCACTATAGGATAGACATATGGGCTCCTGAACTTTCTGATAACCCTGGTTCTCTTCAACTGTCTGAGCTTTTAGATCTCCTAATTGGATTCAACAACACCTCATCCTGAATGGATTATCTTACTGCAGATGTATACAATGCTGGGTACTCTTTGCACATCCCACCATGTCAGTATCAGGGTTTGTAGTCTGTTTTTCCATTCTGATGACACAGGAGCATTCACTGGGTAGAAATTCTCTGCAGAGATCTCTCCTTTGACTCCCTCCACCAAAAACAGATGAAAGTGAGATGAGGGTAAATATGTTCACTAACCATAGTAGCAGTTGGGCTCATAACTTCACAGGACAGTCGGTGGTGCTGGACACTGACTGGGGCTTACTCTCAGGCCTACTGCAATACTCTTGCCAAGATTATTTTGGGGATCAATTCTATTCCAAAACCCCTCACCATTTAGATTAGCTTCTAACACAATGTAAGGGGCCCAGCAGGTCCAAACTCATCTTTATTGAAGCTCAAAGACAAACCACCTCTGTCTTTTTCAGCTGCCATATTCTTCCCACGATTCCGTCTGGGTCCTTCTGTTCCTTGACTAAACACTGGTACACTGATCTCAATATAGGATGCACACCTTCTGATATAAGGTCACTTTCTGAGGCATTAGAGGCCCAGAGTTATCTCAATGGTTCTGTGTTCATCTTTATGACAGAGGAGCTCCTGGTGCTGGAGGGGGCTGGAGGTTATTAAAGTGAATCTGTTGATTTGCCCTGCATGAGCAAATCACAAGTTAACTTAAAGCATATACTCATCTTTTCTTTGTTTCCACATGGCTCCTTTCATCAGCAGAGAGCAGAAAAACCCACCCTATTAAAGCTATGATTCTCTCAAGTCATAGCTTACACTGGACTATGTATCTTAACATTTTGACTGCACTGGTGCATGACGATTGGCCCTACACTGTCACATGGAATGAGTTATATGCTCCACCATACCCAAACGTACTGTGTATTCCTTCATCATGGCCAATAAAAGGAGCAGAACCTTAAAGCAAACCTATATGGGCTTTAAGTGTCAGAAAATCCCCAAATTCTTTTTTGTGTCATTACCTGTAAAAGTATGGCCTATACCTGGCTGAGTAACCTTTCTATCATGCATATTTTTATTGTTAGTAAATACCTGGCTGATCCTGCTGTTTCAATGGAATTCCCTTTTCTGAGTGGCAACACTGTAGCAGCCAAATTTCTTTCTGCTCCTTTGCCATTCTTAGAGCTCATTCCCACCCCCTGTTTAAAAGTATAGCTAAAGGCAAAACATTGTTTTTGGTTTTTGGATACAGTGGAGATGGATTACAACACCTGTCATGTTTTTATTGCTTTCTGTGCCCCAGTTAGGGAGATTCACCCTCTCTATCTGTCTTGTCTACCATTATCAAAAGTGAAAGTAAAATAAAATCCTGAATTTTATTTTGTCCCGAGAACAGTAACAGAGAAGAAATCTCCCAATGGGGACAGTAGTTCTGGTGACCTGAGGGCCCCAGTGGTTTCTCTTAATTTGCAGGGATTTTCTCTCACTTTCTGTTGTGACTATGGGACAGAAAGTGAAGGTAAATCTTCTCAGTGGGACATATGTAATCAGGCTGCAATTTATGTGGTTAGGTGCTGCCCTGGACAGGAGGGTTAGGGTTAACTTTATTCCCAGGTATTTTGGTTTTCGCTGGATTTGTGGGTCTGATCCACTGGTCCTGTGTATACAAAGAGGACAATGGTTTGAAGCCAAGGGTCGCTGCCTGCTGGATGGAAGAGAGGGCACAGCAATCCCGCACGATGTAATCTCCAGCTGCTACAGAGAGCTTACACCTGAAGAATTCTGCCGATGAGCGGGAGCAGCACCACACAGGAAAGGACTGACCATTTGGAAACTCGGGTACTGCCCGAGGGCTCGGGGTCAGTAGGTGGCCCCATGAGATGCCCCTGGTACCTTTTCATAGGCTTTTTTCAGTTTGAGCAAGGACACAGGGGCCCCATGATCCCCTATTGTCCAGGGGCCCCCATGAGTTGTCAGTCCGCCCCTGGCACCACATCTTCAATGTAGAATGATTCCTGGAACCTGTAGTCTGCCCTGGAGATGCCAGCTGCTGCATTATGCCAAAGCATGAACTTTGCCACTAATGGACCTGAACGCACACGGACTCTACCTTTGCAGGTACTCCGGGGTAAACTTTGCCTTCTGCTTGGTCTGAAGTTTTTTAAAAAGGGTGCACTGCAAGTAATAGGCACTATTGCACACTTACAGTAATCTACAGTTTGGATCACTGGCACATGGGATATGAAGAGTTAACATGCTTAAATTCACCTTAATGCAAGTTATACATGTGGTTGCTATGAGCAGCGAAGGTACGTAAGGTCATAAATGTGTATCTGTTATATGGGGAATTGCCTCTAGCCACGAGGGAAATGGTGTTGGCACTTCACTGCATTCTGTCTCCCAGAGCAACAGGAATGGAACTGCATGTTGGAGCCCGCGCACAGTGGGGTTCCATGATGTTCCATGGACCGATAGTGGGAAACGCTGGACAGGTGGCTGTAGTGTTCAGCATGGCCCGCCTAATTGCAAACTACAGTGGAAAGATGTACATTTACATGAGGATCAGAGAGTAACTGGAGGACACTTGTTCAAGTGTACATCTAAAATCAGACCTTAGCCTTGTCCCAGGACATTGATGAAACGGCACTAAAGCAAAGGTACCCCATGTGTAGGAGAGCGATCTTGTCTCAGGTGCCTAGTGTAGCCCAAAAGAACCCACCATGGGGATAGTCCTCTTATGTGACCCAGACTTGGAGCCCAACTAGTTAATTGGGAAGACATGGAGGAAGGTCCACTACACACGCTTTTACCCCATGCTGGCCCACACACAGAGGGCAAAATAAAAAATAACTGACACAGGTTATAACCCTCCTTTACTCCATCTAAAATGAAAAAAAAAATGTTTTGCCTATAGTTCTGGTTTAACTCTACAGAGACTAAAGCACAGCATGGCAACCACTTGCATTGCATGTGGTTTCCGGGCAGTTGCCGTTGGCTCATATGCATAAAAGAACTGCATTTGACTGTAGTAATGCCCACTGAATGTGACATGGGGTTTCATTTTTTACACAACTGTGGAGCAATGCATCGTGGCCCTGGCATATTTACAACCCTGAGCAGCTGCATGCCTTTCTTTAGATGGGTGCTCAAGTGGTAGTAAAACCATTGCTCATCCATTTACTTTTACTGCTCCCCTGACCACCCGTGTGAACAAACCCTGCTCCTCTATGAATGTGCCTTGTTCTGTGTTAGGAAGCGGTTTACTTCCTCCTTTCTGCTCTGTAAGCTGCACCATGTGATACTTTTCTGTTTCTTATGGGGCAACTTTTGCTATCTGGTGTAAATTCTTGGAAATAAAATAGTGTGCTATTTTTTTTCCTCTGACAACATATGACCACAACAAACGCAACAGTTAATCTGTCATCACAGGATGCCTGTAGCTCCACCCACTGGTCTCACAGTGCGCGTAGAGCAAGGGCTGCAGAATTACGTCACCAAATAACAGATGGAAAAAAAGGTATTTGGCAACAATTTTATGTAGCAATCTATACATATTTGTTTACTTTGTTCGATTTACTGCTTTTACGGTATACTGGAACACTTTGTGATGAGCTTACTGACACTTTAAGCACGGTTTGTGCTTTGTGTTTAGCAGATTGGAAGAAAAGGACAGTTTGTAATATTCTTCTATAGCACAGGGCAGCCCTCTAGTTGTTGCCAAACTACAAGTCCCATGAGGCATTGCAAGATTAGCAGTTACAAGCATGACTCCCAAAGGCAGATGCATGATGGGACTTGTAGTTTCACAACAGTTGGAGGGCCACCAGTTTGACACCCCTGTTCTATAGTTACTTAACAGAAAGAAGGTCAGGTGTGTGTTGCAAAGTATAATTTTCTAAAGTTTTCTAAAGAACAAGTGATTCTAAAGGATTTTTTTAATATCAAACACCTCATACTAACCTGCTCTGTGAAATGGTTTTACACAGAGCAGCCCTGATCCCCCTCTTCAGGGGTACTATGGGTGCTATGGGGGCACTCATGCGGGCTCAACACAGAGCATGGCTCAGACCTGACAACCCGCTCTCTCCTCACTGGCTGTGATTGATGGCAGCAAGAGTCACTGGCCCCTGCTGCTGCCTCTCTGTCCAGTGAGGGGGGGGGGGGGTCTGAGGGAGGGGGGAGCTGCACAGAGAAGGCACTGCTGAGGTGTTATGGAAGGCACTGCTGAGGTGTTATGGATGCTTCAATAGCGGCCTTCAGCTCTTCTGCATTGTTTAGTCTCATGTCTCTCATCTTTCTCTTGGCAATGCCCCATAGATTCTCTATGGGGTTCAGGTCAGGCGAGTTTGCTGGCCAATCAAGCACAGTAATCCCACGGTCATTGAACCAGGTTTTGGTGCTTTTGGAGCAGTGTGAGCAAGTGCCAAGTCCTGCTGGAAGATGAAGTCCGCATGCCCATAAAGCTCATCTGCGAAAGGAAGCATGAAGTGCTCCAAAATCTCTTGGTAGACAGCTGCGTTGACCCTGGACTTAATGAAGCACAGTGGACCAACACCAGCAGATAACATGGCTCCCCAAATCAACACAGACTGTGGAAACTTCACACTGGACTTCAAACATCTTGCAGTGTGTGCCTCTCCATTCTTCCTCTATACTCTGGGTCCTTGGTTTCCAAATGAGATGCAAAAGTTGCTCTCATCAGTAAAGAGGACTTTGGACCACTGAGCAACAGACCAGGTCTGTTTTTCTTTAACCCAGATAAGATGCTTCTGACGTTGTTTGTTGTTCAGGAGCGGTTTGACAAGAGGAATATGACATTTGAAGCCCATGTCCAGGATCTGTCTGTGTGTGGTGGCTCTTGATGCACTGACTCCAGCCTCAGTCCACTCCTTGTGAAAGTCCCCAGCACTTTTGAATGGCCTTTTCCTGACAATCCTCTCCAGGCTGCGGTCATACCTGCTGCTTGTGCACCTTTTTCTTCCACACTTTTCCCTTCCACATAACTTTCTATCAATGTGCTTTGATACAGCACTTTGGGAACATCCAACTTCTTTTGCAATTACCTTTTGAGGCTTTCCCTCCTTATGGAGGGTGTCAATGATGGTTTTCTGCACAACTGTCAGGTCAGCAGTCTTTCCCATGATTGTGATTCCTACTGAACCAGACTAAGAGACCATTTAAAGGCTCAGGAACCCTTTGCAGGTGTTATGGCTTAATTAGCTGATTAGAGTGGGACACTTTGAGCCTAGAATATTGCACCTTTTCACAATATTCTAATTTTCTGAGATTGTGGATTTGGGATTTTCATGAGCTGTAAGCCATAATCATCACAATTATGACAAATCACGGCTTGAACTATATTGCTTTGCATGTAATGAGTCTATCTCATATATTAGTTTCACCTTTTAAGTTGCATTATGAAATAAATGAACTTTTGCACAATATTCTAATTTTTTGAGTTTCACTTGTAAATATCTTATCTTTTGGGTGGATCTGAACCACTTGTCACATGTTTCCACGCTTTCCTTACATGTGTCCAGATACAGAAAGGTGCGTTAACCAGTAAGGACACTTGTATTCCTTACTAGGCTCAGAATTAGTAGCCCTAGGAGACAAAAATAATGCAAATTAAAGGGATTTAGATTGCAGGGTAGACTGGTTCAGAAAATTAATAGAGAATGGAAAGAACTGTTCAGTAGTTAGGATGCATTATTTGAGTCAGTGGAACAGGAGCGGACTGACCCTTTGGAAACTCGGGTACTGCCCGAGGGTCTGGGGTCAGTAGGGGGCCCCATGAGATGCCCCTGGTACCTTTTTCATAGGCTTTTTTGAGTTTGGGCAAGGAAACAGGAACCCCATGATCCCCTATTGCCCGGGGGCCCCATGAGTTGTCAGTCCGCCCCTGCAGTGGAAATACTTCATTTTAATATTTAACTGGGCTGTTCCTTGAAACTACTACCACATTTCTAATATTACAAAAGTATTATTATCGGATTGGCATGTATAATATGTTAGCTTAGCAATTCTGGTTTTCTGTTGTTGGTGTTCCTGCATAAAACATGCATCTAATAAAGTTTTACAAGACTTCGCAATCTAGCACTGAAATGTTCTAGTGTGAAAGCTAAGGCTTTGCCGTACAGAGTTCGAATTTTGGCTGCTTCCTACTGAATGGTCTGAAATGCAAACCATGGGTGGCCCTGTGGTTACCACCTGGCTCTACAAACCTTGATTGAAAAATTGAAAGAGCTGTCTGGAAAATTGTCCACCAAATAGTATATGCATCCAATCAGTCACACTCAACGTTCGGTTATTCAGAAAGCCGCAAGGGCTGAATACAATAACCAGCAGGGAAGATTCCTCCATCTTGCTGTTTAGCGTAGATGGAGAAATCTATTAGACATCCTTTGTTTTGCCCATGGATCAAATTAGAGAAATCTATGCATGTATGGCTAGCTTCAGATTTCACTTCTATTCAATAAATATTGTTATGACAGTTTCTATGTCACCCAAAGCCTATATTTCAGTTTTTGGTGGGCATCAGTTGGTTAACCCTCCTACCGGTTTCTTAGAGACTTCAGGCTTTTTCTTCTTCCTACAAGTCTATACAAAGAATTTACCCCCTTGAAGCTGGATTTCCCAGTGATCTCACTTTCTATAATGAAGATTCTGGCAGCATCGTTTCCCTTTGTCACCACAACAATGGGATAAGGCTATGAACCCCAGTGGGGATAGCTCTTCCTCCACTTCTGATTTTGGACAATGTCTGTAATATTCAGATAATTGCTAATGAATTACAGGGCAATATCAGTACCTTTGTTGTTTGATGAAGCTCATTATTGCTTTGGGAGATTTTCCAACGAGTGCATCTAATCCTTTAAACTCCTACGAAGAGGACCAAAGGATTAACAGTACTGCACATGTGTCATCAAGCAAGAATTGTGACCGGTCCCATGTCTATGGCTACCCTAGGAAATCAGCAGGTCATTCACCTTGTCAGAAAACTAAACGGTTATATCAGTTGTGAGTGGAGCTGTTCACTTTAACAGTATGCAACAAAAAACTTTGAGGATT